CCTAGAGGACATCTAAATTAGGGCAAGCAGCATAAAAATAATAACAAATGCATGAACAGAGGAGGCCTCCAGGGCAGGAGGAGAGGTAAACTGCGGGGTGGCAAGTGGAAGAAGGCATTGGACTTTAAACCTGAGCTCTAGGCATATGTAGAAAAAAACACCATTTAACCACATGTTTGTTGTTTTCGGACCATCCGCTGTAAATTCTAGAGATGGTTGTACGTGAAAAACACAGTAGATCAGCAGTTTTTGAAATAGGCCGGCCCGTCTGGCACCAACAACCATGCCACATTCAAAGTCACTTAAATCCACTTTCTTCCCCATTCTGATACTTGGTTTGAACATCAGCACATCATCTTCACCACTTTTACATGCCTAAATGCATTGAGTTGGTGCCATGTGATTGGCTGATTAGCAATTTGTATTACCAAGCAATTGAACAGCTAATAAAGTGGCCGGTGAGTGTATTTTTCTCTTGAGGCCATTTCAGTTTACAGCTCAATACCTCTATAAAATATGAATGACACACTTACCTTTGCCAGGAACCATTTTTCTGCCTCTGCTTTGTTACTTTCCATCAGGTCTTCATACTGGTCTCGAATTTCCGCCAGAATTTTACTGAGATCCGCAGTTTGCGGGGCATCAACTTCCACAGTGACCCTGGCACCCAGCTGGGTATAGAGGCTGTTCACTCTCTGTTCAGATATAAATAGGAAGAATTACATGAATGTATACATTTTGGTGAAATGCTGGGATTGTTCAGTTCAAAAACTATGATATACAGGGTGCCATACCCCTAGCAACTGCCTTTTATTAGTTGCAATCAACAAAATACAATAGCAAAATGGTTGCTAAGGGTTACTATACTTACAGATTGCCTTTTAACACCAAATAACTCAAAGATTAGTCTCAGTGAATCTACCTAGCAGGGAAAGCACTAGCAATAAAAAAACCTGACAGGGGTTCTAATGCTTTATTACTCTAGCCAAAGGTAAAAAGAAACAAATGTTTGCCAATATATAGACTATGAACCATTGTAAAAGATTAGAGGGAAAAAAGAAACATAAAAAAGGGGTGGACAGCTCAAAGATAGTGTGAAGGGAATAATCCAAAGCATTAACTACTACTAACTAGAAACCAGTGTTTAAGGATAAGTTCACCTTTTAAAAAAAGATAATAAATGTTCATCTTTTAGCAGGTAAAAAAATGAGCATTTTTATTTTTTTTTTAATAGGAGCCTGTAAAGCATTGCACCCGCTATCAGTACATCACGGTTGCAATGTATGGCTCCTTCAGACTATCATTGTAAGCTGTCTGCTTGGACCTCATACAGGCAGAATGTTACACACTGACGGGAACCACCAATGAACTACCTAAAGCGCTCACCAGCACTCTGGTAGTTAATTGAAAACTACAAACCGGCAGCTGTAAATCTTGATGGTAGTTGTAGCTTTCCAATTCATTCACAGAAATCTGGAGAGGATCCCCGGCTTGCTGTCACTAGAGGTGGTGGATTAAAGAGCTGCTGCAGGGGTGGGAACATGTTGCATGGTGCACCCTAAAAATGGGTGGAACATGTAATATATTCCCAAAGATGAAGCTATGCTTTAAAAATATTTCCTCATTTACTCTATCTGATGGCACAGCTTGAGTGAGCTACTAAGTAAGGAAAACACTAACTGCAGAAACCACAAGGGATGCACAGTAAGTACCAATGGGCTACATGTTGGGTCTCAGGCTATATAGTAGGGCTAAATGCCCTCAGCTAATACTGGAATCTTCTACTCTTCCAACCAGTCTATCCCCCACAGTTATTACCTTTTGTACCACTAGCCCCTCCCTCCTAGATTGTAAGCTCCAAGGAGCAGGGCCCTCAAATCCCTCTTGTATTGAACTGTATTGTTGCTGTATTGTCTCCCGTTATATTGTATAGCGCTGAGCAAACTGTTGGCGCTATATAAATCCTGTATAATAATTATAATAATATATATATTATGATATTGCTATATAGTATTTCCCAAACACTATTACTCTTCAATACAGTACATCTTCATTGGCCTTCTTCTGTTGAAGCATGTCCTCCTGGAGATGATGATGGTCAGTGTCCAGATATTCGACTTCTTCCTTGATTTTTTCAAGCTCATCGCGCAAGTCCTTCAAATCTAGCTCAATGTCAGTCCTTAGTTTGTACTCAATCTCATACCTAGAAAACAATTAAGGGCTGAAATATATTAAAAAGCTACAGGTTATCAAAAAGTGTTCATATTTTATAGACGGATAATACACTAGGGTTGGTTTACTTGAAGGCAAATAGACTGTGCACTTTGGAAAGTGCAGTTTCACTCTGCAAGAGCAGTTGCTCCAGAGCTTAGTAAATGAGCAAAAGCTCTGAAGACTTCCAACATTTAATCATTTGCAAGCAAAAATGCTGTTCTTTTTATTTTCCTTGCACGTGATTGGGTAGTCTTTGCTAAGTGAATCTTTACCTCATTTACTAAGCTCTGGAGCAACTGTTTTGTCATTAGTAAATCAACCCCAATGTATGAGCAAATGTATGTGGACAACCCTCAGAATTATAGATTACTGGTGCACAAAGCCAGGTCCAGGAAGACATAATTTGATGCATTTTACGTGACTATGAAGACCTTTAAATGAACTGGAACACTGAATAAGAGCTAGGTCTTGTCATCCAACATTAGTCCCTGACTTCACAAATTATCTTTTGGCTTAATTTAAATGCATTTCCTGGAAACCCTTCCCAGAAGAGTGGAGTCTGTTATAACTGCCAAGGAAGGGGTGGGCGGTATACTTGTAATAGTGTCCATGGTTTTGGAATGGGAGGTTGAACACACTTATATACTATAGGTGTGATTTATGGGTCTCCACAAACTTTTGGCTATGTTGTGTATGAGGCTCTGGTAAAGCAGTCAGAAACATAACTGGAACAATAGTTGCCTTCATTTTCATTTATAATTACCAGAGATAAGCTGAACGTGCCTGGATTTGGTTTGAGGCAGGTTTTACAAGATATTACTAAAGTTCAGGTCTTGAATCCGTACCCCATTGAAGTCAATGCTAGTTGAATGTTAAAAAAAAACATTTATGGCCATTTCTTAGGCTAATAGGCAAAGGATATTTAAACAAATGGCATGGGGAGCAAGCACTGAGGTGAAGGCCTGAACAGGGGTGGACTGACCATTTGGAAACTCGAGAACTGCCCTGATGCCCGGGGTCAGTAGGGGGCCCCATGAGATCCCCCTGGTACCTTTTGCATAGGCTTTTTTGAGTTTGGGCAAGGACACAGGGGCCCCATGACCCCCTGTTTCCTGGGGGCCCCATAAGTTGTCAGTCCGCCCCTGGGCCTGAACAAGTAATGTTTGGCCCTAACCTGTTTTCAGACAGACCCAGGAGCTCATCCCAAACAAGTACTCCGTAAATATAGAAAGACTGTTTAGACAAGAGCACATAATAATATGATTGAAGTGTGATGAAGTTCATCTAAAATATTACACATTCCCTTTAAGGGGGTCACCATTAAATTTAGTAATTTCTTCAAGGATAGAAAACTCACTTATTTTGAAAATCATCTGCAGCCAAGCGAGTATTGTCAATCTGCCTAATAAGCCTCGTGTTCTCCATGGTGTATCGGAAAACCTAAACATAAAATTATTTTTATTCCTATAGTAATCACAAGTGATTTTACATTTATTTGAAAAAGTCTTTTATACATTGAAAAGAAAGTAGGCGTTGGGCATGGGCCCCAATCACCGTTCCACACAGAGTATATCAGCTGAGGATCTAGCTAGTAGAGGATAGCAACCATCATTTTGTCAATAAACATAAGCTTGAGTTATTTTACAACCAAAGCATATTTAACTCTTATGATAATTTCCTAAAAAAAATGTTCAATTTCAATGGAAAAAGCTCTAACTGTTGAAAGCCTTATTTCCTCTAAATCACTACCATGTTTCATTGTGTTGTTATATCAACACCCTAAACAGCCCCTTTTACATCTATTTTAGATAAAAATCATACTTAGAGTGGTATTTTAGCAGTAGTAGTGATAAAATATCCTTGGTATTTAGAGAAAGCACTAAGAGATGGTGATGGTTTGATATCAGGAGAAGAAGTAAAGCAATTTTGTGCATTGAACGCTGTTCTCACATTTCTTTAAAGGGCAACTTTCATTTTCAACAAACACCCTTCATAGCCCTCTAATCTTATGTAAAATCGAGTCTCCATTCTCAAGCCTGAGGCTTATTTGCCTCCTTCCCCTGCAAGGAGTGTTTCTACCTGTCAGGAATGGGCTTGCCAATAACGGTGGGACTCACCTGCCTTGTGGGCTGCAGTACCAGGGCTGGCCAGCGGGTGCTCTCAGCAATCAGAGACTCACCCCTGCAGTCAGCCAAAACACCTGAAGCTGATTGCAGGGGTTGTATTTAAGGAATGGCCAGACTCACAGTCAGGGCCTTGGTGTGTGTTTTTCCATGGGCCCCTGTATCTTGTAACCTGCATTCCTGTTCCTGTTTCTGCCTGACTTGTTGCCGACCCTGCCTGATCCTGATCCTGACCTCTGCTGACTTCTCCTGTTTGATCCCTGGCTTATGACCCTGACCATTCTCTCCGCCTGCTCCTCCTGTACCTACCTGCCCGATAGTTATTGACCCGGCCTGCCTGACTACGTTGTGCTCTATATGTGTATGTACCTGTGTATCTATATCAGTTTAGGTTTGGGTTTGTTTCACCTTGTTGTATGTATTTGTGTTAGGTTTGGGTTTGGTGCACTGCATTTATATTTGTATTGTTAGTCTCAATAAATTATATTATTTACTATATCTGAAGCCTACGTTTCCCTGTGTCAGTCCACACACTTCTGGTCACACCCGTATCCCTGACAGTACCTTTCCACTGATATTACACCTTATCCAGACCACCTAAAGGCACAAAACAAAATTGTATAAGCCTGCTCTGTATATAGTAGTATTTTACCTCTATTAGTGCTACTGCAATACTCTTTTAGGGCTTGGGGTGCATGGGGTTGTTAATAGAGTGAACATGTCCTTTATCTCCCAACACCCAAATAATAAAAAATACAAAGATCCACAAAACCCTCTTTCCATTTCCAATAGAAACTACAAAGATCTTAACATCCTTAGGAATTATCATGTCTAAATTATGCAATTTTTTAGGTAGAAAACAGTAATAAATAATTCATAAAGAAAGCCTGAACTGAGAGAATTACAGGGGCTGCCATTTATGACTTCTTTCTAGTAAGTATGCTAGTTACCTGGCTGTAACTTCTTTCTGTATTTTCAGCCTCTGATCTGTAATGAGCATGCAGATTACAAAGTCAGCAATAAGCCAAAATTCATGATTTGTTCCAGGTCATTGCCTCAAAGTATAGAAGTCAATAGGTCAACCAGGCAGCCAGGCAACTAGCATTTTCAAATTCCATATTTTACCTAAAGATGTTTTCTTAATCTTTGTCTGGACAGTCACCCAGCCAGGACCTTGTGACCCCAAGTTTAGATTGTCTCACATCTCAAGGAACAGCTGCTCTTGCTGCCTATAGTAATCATTAAGCATTTTCTTTAATGTCTCCTTTACGGTATGGAGAATGAATGGATGAAATGTGGTAATTTAATATATTTTAGAGTTCCTTTAAACACTTTTACTCAAGAGGACGTGTTTTATGAACCTGACCTGAGAGTGTACCTAAACCTTGTGTAAATAATACATTAACCACAATAGATCTAAATCCTAATTGAATGACATTTGGTTGTGTAAAGCAGTGGTCTTCAACCAATGGACCATTGAAAGACCTCAGCCTTTCTCCGATTGGACCAAGCCCTGAACGCAAGTCTTGGCTGCTCTGAAGCTACTCTACCTGCTTCCTGGGCTCTGAACAGACATCATCAATTTAACCTTCAAAGAAACCAAGAAGAGGATGATAACAGTTAAGCGCTGATATTCCCCAAGAACAAGGTAAGATAGGACGAGGAGCCTCTCTGCAGCAGCAGAACATAGTCCAAGCAACCCATTAGTACTCCCTGTGCTCCATCACTGCTCCCTTACTGTGCCTTTATTAATGACTGACAGCAGGGGTTGTAAGATTTGTGGCAGCTCATAGGGAAGGTTAATGGTGAAAGTTGACCTTGTGTGCAGATGCAGATTGATTGCAGATTCAAAGGCCCTTTGTTATGTGTTGTTTTTTTTTTTTTTGCATTACCTGTTATGTGGTATACAGCTCTCTTGTTTTAATAACATCAGTAACACGCAAGGATCCTGCCAAGTTTTATATTGCACTGTCATCATTATTATGTGTGTGATCAAAATCATGGCAGTCTTGACTTAGGTTTAATGCCCTCTCACTGTGTATGACCAGCTTAAAGTGTCTCTTGTACCAGCCATGTTGCATAACCCTCAAGAATTCCCACCATGAAATGGAATCTCCTTTGAATACCTCTTGCACCTAAGTGCTACATTGCATAACCCCTCAGGAATTCCTACCAGGTAATGGATTCCCCTTTGGAGCGCCTCTTACACCTAAGTGCCACATTGCATAACCCCACAGGAATTCCCAGCAGGTGCTGGATTCTGCAGCTGTCATCATGCTTCACTACCATTGCTTAGATCAGTGGTTCTCCACTGGGCTCAGTCAAACCAAATACACACAGTGATGTCACCTAGCTGTCTGTTTACATTACCACAGACCAAGAATCTTTCATTTAGCAATGGCAATATATTATGTACACATTGGCAGCAGTTGGTTCATGTTGATTGATGAGGATTACGTCGTTGGAAGTCGTGATTGACATTGAAGAGGCCCTTATTCTTAAAACATTGGGACAAGGTACTTTGCCAAGGGAGGACTTCCCTTTGAAAAGTACTCCCCCCCACTTCCGCAGTGTTGAAAGGCACGTGGCCATGGCCTGATCTCGTATAGGAAGGGGAGGAGGGTGCACACTGACTACCACTTATTTTATGGTCACCCAGGCTGTATTCCTGGATAATTGTCTGGTTACAGTAATAAGGGAAACCCCACACTGTTTTTTCCCTTTTTTCTAATTTTCATTACAACATTCAAACTGAAAGGAATAAAATTGAATTGATGCTGCTGTATGTAATCCAAGCTAAGTGTAAAAGTAAAAAAATTAATTCCACAGCCAAATATTCTCTGCCAGTTTACACTGTCACTAAGGCTGTCCTTGAAAATTGTTCTGTAAGACCATGTGCAGCTTAAAGACATCCCTCAATCAACTTATTTGGTTTGATTATTTTTGAATGTTGCTTTCAAAGATGCATGCAAAGACCCTATTCATGCTCATGTCATTTTTTTTTTACAATAGCTGACCTATTAGTCTTGAAAATGTCCAGCATTTGGTATCAAGATTCATCTCTCATATACTTCAGTGGAGCAGTGGATAATTATACAATTATCTGGAGATTTTTGGTTTAGATTTACCAAAAACCATATAATAGAAGGACAAACCTTAACAACACTTTCAGTTGTATCCAATTAGGCAGGCCCTTGCACTACACAGTTGAAGGTAAATCTAAAGGAAATTGGGCAGAAAATTGGAAGATAATTGTATAATGTATGGCCAGCCTAAGTTCAGGTTTTGTGGACTTCATACTAGGTTTGAAGAACCTCCTGTGAACCAGACCTCCGTTGCTGTTCCACAGCTGTGATCAATTTGTAGTCAGCTTGTTCCTCCAGTGCTGGCTCTAATACAGATCCGTGAAATTAATGTTTTCTCTGAGTTTATCCAAGTTTTATTCTGTGTGGAGCTTTGATGTAGGGGGGAGTGGTTTTGTCCTGAAAACACATTGGCTGTTTTCATATGACTTTTTTTTATTAACAATTAAAATGATCTTGGACTCTTTTATCTGATTTTGGTTTGCCTTTCTTTTCTGTATTTCTAGGGTGTGAACCAAACCCAGCAGATTCATTCATGCATTCTGGGGAGCTACTCTTTTATGGTGGCAACAATTCTTTCAAAGAATTAAGGAGCTATTAGCTTTCAGGGGCCATGATTCCTCTGACACCAATGATTTGAGGAGCTATTTTCTCTTGGGGGCCACAAACCCACTGACACCAATAGATTTTTGAGCTATTGTTAGTATTTGTTGGGGCACTGAAAGTTTTGGAAAAATTTACCAAGGTTGAGAACCACTGGTCTAAAGCAATGTTTACTGCAACTCCCTCCTCACTGGCCTGCCTTGCCACAGGCTATCCCTGCTTCAGTCGATCCTGAATATGGCAGCCAGACTCATCCACCTTACCAATCGCTCCGATTCCACCTCCCCCCTCTGCCAATCCCTCCACTGGCTTCCAATTGCCCAACAGATCAAATTCAAAATCCTAACACTGACGTACAAAGCTGTCCATCAAACTGCCCCAAACTACATCATCGACCTAATATCTAAATACCACCCAACACGCACTCTTCGCTCCTCACAAGACCTCCTTCTCTCTAGTTCCCTGGTCTCCTCATCCCATGCCCGCCTCCAGGACTTCTCTAGGGTGTCACCCATCCTCTGGATCTCCCTACCCCAATCCATCAGACTATCACCTACTCTCCTCTCCTTTAGGCGCACCCTGAAAACCCACCTCTTCAGGGAAGCCTACCCCACCCCCTGCTAATTGCTGACCTCCTCCACTCTTCCTACCACTCCATCTCCCACAGCCATTTCCTCCTGTACCACTATCCCCTCCCTCCTAGATTGTAAGCTCAAAAGAGCAGGGCCCTCAAACCCCTCGTGTATCACATTGTATTGTTATCGTACTGTTGCATGTTCGGTCTCCCATTGTAATGTACAGCACTGAGCGAACTGTTGGGGCTTTATAAATACTGTATAATAATAATAATAATGATAATGTTTATCATAAAATAGACTTTTAATTTTTCATCATGTTTCTCAGTGCTGTTGATAGTTTACAACCTTTTTCAGACACTTCCTATCTATGTGCACTCACTCTAGCCTCAGCTGCACATCTTTACTATGGACCGGCTTCCTGACTACAGGGGTCCATGCTCTCACAATGTGTGTAAACACTACCACTTGAAGTCTTCACCAGTGGTGCATGTGGCAAAGCAAGACCACAACCTGAAGTCAGTTGTCGCTTTTAACAAGACGTGCCTGAGCAAGGGACTTTCATGTCAGGATTGCGAGGTATTTTTTTTTTTTAACAAGATCTGCTGATTTAAAGAGATTGCTATTTTTAAAGACCAGGAACACTGAAAATGAGATGAAAATGTAAAAAAGAAATAATTGGCAATTGTTTATGATACACAGGGTTTTAGCATACTAAATGTTATCAAACTAGTGTTTGCATCCACTTTAAGGTTTTCATAACAGTACGAGAAGAAAAAAGTCTACAATAAAAAAAATGAAAAATTTCCTTTACCATATACAATCACAATAATGACAAATTTGAAGCAATGTCTAGGGTGATACAGTCCTATTGTTTGTAGATGAGGGTAATTACTGTGTATTTATACTGTAAACTTATTCTTAAAAACCAGTTGCACTATATGGGGACAGTTCTGAGCTATCTCTTGTCTTAATGCATCCAAAATAGATAAATCTCATTTAACTAGGAACCTTAAGTGGCCTTTCTCCCATTAGGAGCCAATAATTCACACTGTAGAGGTTTTGTACACTTGTATAAATTACAAATCTAAATCTTTAGAAAGAAAAATCTGGAAACATCTGAAAGTGTCTAAAACGTTTTTAAAAATTACCTTTCTTTGAAGATCTTCCATTTCTGCAAAATAGTGACTGAAATCAGGCAATACTTGAGGATGATTCTTGTCATACCACTCCCGAATCTTTTTCTCTAGTTGGGTATTTTCTTCTTCCAATGAACGTACCTTCTCTAAGTATGTTGCAAGACGGTCATTTAGAATCCTCATGGTATCCTTCTCATTAGTAGTGAGCAAAGTATGTTTTCTGGATTCTCTGTTCCGTGTGATATCTTTGCCAAAATTACTATGTGTAAGTCCAAAGTTAGATGCATGGTTGAATGAATGATGT